CCCGCCGCTGCCACCGATAGCCAGTAGTTTACGTCGACACTTCAGACGACCCAAGCTCCAGTATAACAACGCTTTGCTACGTCCAAGAGCCTAGCAACCTTGCACCTTGCGGGGTGACTAACAGCCGACCGAGCTTTGCTCCAGTAATGGCTTCCCATGATACGACTTAGACTACGGGCCACCCCTCTGGGTCTTTCAATCCATCAGCCTCACTCCATGCTGAAGAGTAGCTGTCTCAAAAGGTCAGCTCCTCCATGCCATTGCACCAAACAGCTGCCCGCTGGCTGTGCCCATATGCTTTTCATTCTCACTTCTCAGGCTTCCCACAAGCTATGAATCCCGGCATTTCTGAGACCTCTAAAACCTCTAAGATCTGCGACTCCCCGTCCTGTGTCTCGCGCCGTGTCCCTTCCAGCGTTCCCCTCTCTCTTTGCCACAAAAAAGTCATCTGCATCAGCTTTCGAGTCCGAAGGATGCCATCCAGAGGATTGCTCCCAATTTTCTGCCTTATCCAGAATGAGTTGTTATCGGTCTGGGCTTAGGCTTTGGAATCCGCTGCCATTCGATGGTCACTCTCTTCGTCTCGCCTTCGAAGGCTCTATCGATTGCACCATATTTCGGTGGAATTTTCTCAAGATTAAGTCTAACCCTAAGGGGGTAAATCAAGTATGGACAATGCCTGGTATTGCTCGAGCTGCGGCGTGGTGAAGTCGGCGGCGGCGGGACCGTCGACAGCACTCGGTTCACCCTCTGCAACAAATGGTCGATGGGTGCTAGCTGAAGCAACAACCGCTGCACGGGTCGATGGTCCTTCTTCGCCAGCTTCATTATTGCAAGATTCCTCCCAACTTTTTTTTAAGACCTCTGAAGCTTTCATCTCGTAGCCCATCAACGATTTTGACACCACCCAATCCTCAAAGAATGGTAGAACAAGAGGACCGTGACGGTTCGGGACGTAAAAAGGATACTACATTCATCCAATATGACCCAAATAAAATAGGTCAGAGGAGTTGTGACTGGTGCTCCAATAATCATCGAAAATGCGAAAACAAAACACCTGGACGGAAGTGTGAGAGCTGCAAAAAAAGTTGGGAGGAATCTTACAATAATGAAGCTGGCGAAAAAAAGACCATCGACCCGTGCAGCGGTTGTTGCTTCAGCTAGCACCCATCGACCATTTGTTGCAGAGGGTGAACCGAGTGCTGTCGACGGTCTCGCCGCCGCCGACTTCACCACGCCGCAGCTCGAGCAATACCAGGCATTGGCAGCGGCGGAGGGGATTTCCCATGAACTGCCGTGGCAAGCTGGGCAGGGTTTCTACACCCACCCTCCCTTCTCCTTCGATCAAGACCCATCCATGCACGCTAATCCAGGCGATCTCGGAGGTGACGCTTATGCCGGCTCATAACCTGTTTGGAGGACTCAGGACAATCTATTTAGATGTAGGTAGTGTAGGCTCATAGGATCGTTCCTTAAGGTAATGTATATGACTGTTGGGAAGCTTGACTAATTTATCTGTCTAGGAGAGGAGAGGGTTCCTTATAATAGACAAAACGATGAAAAAAGATTTTTCAGGCGAGGCGGACAAAGGGCGAATATCCGACACTTAAGCGGTGGGCGGCCCAGTTACGGGGCCGAAATTGGTACCCAACACGTGTAAGGTAATTATCTATTGGCCTATTAGGGACGTGATGATATTCCCCGCGTGACTCTGTAGATCATGGCAAGCTGGCTAAGACACATCGAGCCTGGAAGTGCGGCGCGTTTTTTATTTTTATTTTTATTTTTATTTT